TAAATATACGTATGTACGTACGATTGTTCGCGATCTTCTCGTTTCATGTAGAAAGATGAAGCTAACACCGTAACGCGATTGTTGTAAAGGGGATTAATCTGAGGCGATAATTCAACGCCACGTTATCGAGAAATCTAATGTCAATTGCAAAGTTAATCGATGTTCTCTCTCTCTCTCTCTTCCTCGTTCGCCGTAGAGATACGAGTGGGGCTGGCAGGTCGTTGTTCCTAGTCAAGATCATGAGATCCCTATTCCCGACATTTCGCAATGTTGGCGTAATGCCTGACCTCCGCTTCCAATTCTGCCGAATGCAATTCTTCAGAATTCGACGTGCTGCACTCATCACTCAATCACGCATTGACTACGTGAACAAACGCTTTCAGACGTACAAGTGACACGTACCATATCCAAGCCATATCGATTTCCCATTGTCCTCTATAGGCATCCAATATACGTGCACCTTTGTCATATTATGACAATTGATGCAAAAATATAACACTGACGCAATTAACATCGCGTTTATAACACTTTTGACAAAAGAAATTGCATGCAGCTTTGCCGTATAAAATTATACGTTCGTACATTTACTTTCTAAGGCACAATTTAAATCGATATTATTTGATGTAGAAATAAAGCGTAAAACAATTTTATATAATGTTATTATCACAAAAAAATTGTTAAATATTCTTTAGCTGACGTTCGAGCAACTCGCAATTATAATAGTTGCCCCATCTCTCGGTTTGACCCTAACCTAAGTTGTACACCTTGAATACATGTACTTACATACACATATACGTAGACACAATTCGTATAAACATGCGAAAAGGAGACGTGATGCTCATTGTCGTTCGGGCTTTACATACACGTTTATCTCCTCAGGAACAATATTTTTTAAGTAAATCTTACATAGGAAAAAAAGTTTGTTGGATTGAAAATATCACTTCGGTGATATTATTTAGTACGGTTACAAAGTCTGGGACTGTAATTTGTAATTTAAATATTGCTAAAGACAATCGAGAGCGATAAAACGCATGCGCGTATTGTGTCACCGGTGTTCACTTCACTGTTAATCGTTATTACTGGGAATACGATGTTAAAAGTATCGTTTGCACAATTAAACAGCGTAAAATAGCGAAGGAATATCGAAAAAGAAACAGAAATTACGCACAAGGTACGAGTTTAATAAAAATACATTTTCATTTTTACTAACAAACACGTATGTGTATACTTTACGTGACACGCACACACTATGACACGAAATTAATACGTTCAATCGATTCGATGATTATTCAACATTTATATTATTTATAGTGCGTTTAACATGTTTGACCAAACCACGAAACATCATTAATTATTCAGTATAACACAAAAAAAAAAACCTATGTACAATGTAACTCATGCAGATAATGAATAATCAATAATAGACACGTGTAAAATGATTGCATAACACATCATCATGTGTTGCAGAGAATATTAAAATATTGCTTAACCAGATGAAATGTCTGGAAGAAATTCGGCAACGTTCGCGATAAGTGTATTTTGTGTGAATACAAAAATACACATCTTGCGTGAAGTTATATCTAAATCGAAGAAATTGAATGCATATTTTCGAAAAGGGGTTAGTTGAAGTGCGCATGCGTTTAATGTGTGTACAATTTCGGGATATGTGTGTTGACCCCCCCCCTCCTCGTTCAACGTGATTCGAGGATATAATCGTATAAAATAAAATAAAATCGTGAAAAACTGATAAACAATTCAACTGATAAACAGTTCGAACAGATGAGACGAGATATCGGATTTTCCTCAAAGAGATAAATGTCTCTGCTCTTAACTTAGGAGGTTAGAAAACGCCGCGATCCAAATAGGATCTTTAGCTGCTGTTTACTAACTGAATAATGGAGTTGTGTATAGTATTCGACAAGGGGGGATGAAATACAGTGCGTACGTATGCATGTGATCGTGCGTGAAAGAGAAAAGTAGGGAGGGAAACATAACACCCCGAGAAGACGCGCGTCGCGAGACTAATACGACGCAGAAAGAACGAGAGTGCGCGTCAGTAGGTTTTACCCTGACCTCGGTCAGACGGGCATGGTTTAATTTAACCGGATCCCTGCAAACTCAGTTCAATTTATCTTTGTCCAGTGGCACGTTCAAATCATCGCAACGTTCACGATTTAACCTCATCGTTCCATGGAAGGAAGGAAGAATACACCGCTTTCCCGGTATGTAAAGTGTATTTACAATTTGTAGGCCGAATTCTAAATACAATGCCGGCTATTTTCTTAATTACGATCAACTCAGGTGCGTGGAAAAACGGGTTGTCTATTAAAAATTATTTCATTTAAAATAAAATGAAAATCCTGTGCCACAGGCAAACGGGATTATAGCAAATGTTCACATTCTATGGTTTTAGTTTCTTCGTGAAAATGTAAATATTTTTGCTCTCGCCCATATGAAATTTGACATTTCTCGTGACAATTTCTGTTTTATTTTATTCACGATTATAAAATTACTATTTTAGCAAAAGATTCAATGTATATATCTTGTTTCGAATAACGATGTGCTTTTTATTTGCTATAGTTTAGTACATAGTCTATGTCCGTTTAGTTTAAGATGATAATGACCGGAAGTGTACACTCCTTTCTTTTTAGCTTGAATGCTACCTCCTATATATATATGAGTCTATATTAAAAAAGCTAAAACCAATCTAATAATAAAGCTGTATTAAAATTAAAACTAAAACTAACAACAGATCTAAATTAAAAACATAAATTTTTCAAATTAATGAAGATATTTAGGTCTCAAATGTATTAATGTATTTATTATGCATGTACAAAAAAATCGAAAAAAAGTACAAATTTTTATTAAATATTCTTACTAAGTTCTTTTAAATTTTGTTATTCAACGATTATTGAACATAATACTATGCGATAAAGTTAATTCAAGCTGCAGGAAGTAAATCATGTTACAGTTTGCATAATCGTCTGTCGTCTGTCTCATTAGAGGAATTAAGAGAGGACGATGTTCATGCTCGCGAGAGAGACGTATCGTCGCTGCATTACCGATTTAGACAGATAAGAAAACGTCATTGGGAAAATCGTCCGCCGACAAACCGGTTGATAAAACTGTCAAAGAAGGAGAAAAACCGAATCACACTGGCTAACGAAAACGTCCGGATTTCCCTAGAATTCCAGCTGAAAGCATTTCCTCCGGCACGATAAGCGAAAATCCCGAGTGCAAAGGGTGGAATACGGAATAAAGGAGACGGATATTTGTAAAAAGTATGAATCTCTTGCCGAAAGACTCGATGCAAATGACTCGATGCCCTCGCGCGCCGTTTCTGTCATCGGCTCCTGGCGCGGATGAAATTTAAAAAACGAAAGATCTATGGCGCCAAAGGCGAGGCGACGGCGAGAAATACAAGGAGGAATCGAAAGGGCAAAATACACTTCCTCGTATATCGCCGGCTGCTGCCTTTGGCTCTTTGGGGGATAGTAATGGTTCAGGCCGAAGGCAAAACTATACGTGGAAAGCTAAAGGGGCAGTAGAGCGTGCAACGTGTAGCATTCTGGCGGAAAGCCTTCCTCTCGGCTTCGTTTGTGAAGTTGACTACTGGCCAGAGGCGTCGTCACCTTTCTTTGTATGTAGCAGCTTCTCCGTAGGCCAGCGTGAAAACTTCAGCTCGAATGTTATTCATCGTCATAATCAAGATGATTGTGCTCGGAATTTAATACGTACAAAATTACCTCTGTCAAGCGTACGTGTTTGACCAACGAACCGACAGTAATGAATGGAAACGTACATTCCGTTCACGTTGCTACCGTGAATGAACACACACGTCCAATTTACGTCTCTTGCCTGATAATATTTTCACCATATTTTCACGTCTTGCATTATATATGTTTCATATCTTATAAAAAAATATTTCATCCTGTAGGCATTTTGCTCGCTTTCAAGGATCATCGTTGCTTACTACTTACCGATAGAAGAACGACGCGACAATTATAACTCGTGGCTCGAGCAACAGACAACTGCAATTACCAACGAATTTTAGAGATAATAATTGTCCGGCGAACGAGGACTTTTTCAA